TTCTTCTTCTTCTTCTTCTTCTTCTTCTTCTTCTTCTTCTTCTTCTTTTTTCAACTTTTCCCAACACTGTAGACTTCTCAAGAGAGCTAGCTCTTTGCAAAATGGGTTAAATACATGATTTGAACTGATTATTTACATTTTGGGTGAGAATTCTAGAATTCTAGGGATTCAGAAAAACCAGGCAGATTTCAAATAAGCAACAAGAGCCAATGTATGCCCGGTCCTTCACAATACGAATCATTGTTCCCACCAACCAGATGCTTTAATGCCTCTTTCAAGGTTAAGGTATTCTAAAATAAGCACTGCAGCATTTCTCCTTCTGATAAAATGCCAGGATTTTGTGTAACAAAAAACAGACATGGATGGCAGAAATGTGATTTTCTGACCTGGTAGCTCACAGGAGATATTTCCATTTCTTGAACTCCATTGGAAAATGCTTCGCAAGTGATACCTTCCTCATGCCAAACTCTTCACTTAAATGTTTCCTATTGCCAGAGCATCAATATTCATTCATCCATGAGTGCTTCTTGACTGGAATTTCTTTTCAGCATGGATGCCAGTGCAAGGTGACAGGACAAAGTTCTATTTGCTATAAGGATACTCTAATGATGCCAGGAACTGCAGCTCCAAATTCTGTGGACATCAGATGCATGTGGACATTTCATGCATGGATGGTCTAAATGGGAAATTTCATTTTCAAATGTGTGAAATGTTTTAAATAATAGATTAGTCTCTCTCACCCATATCCATGACTGCCTTACCCCTGGATTGAAAAGGGTGTTTGGACTGAATATCAGAGTTAAGCTCCATTCCCTAGTTTAGCTTTTGAACCTCAGCCTTGAGAGGAGGACATTTTGAATCACTTCTCTGCATATTGTTTTAAAATATCAGTAGCTTCATGAAGGGCTGAATCTTCTCCAACTCCTGCTCACTCTACTAACATATCCTTTAAATTGTAGCCTCTCAATAAACCTGTGATTTCCCAAAATGTTTTTAACCAGGGCCCAAATTAGTTAGGGTTTCTAGGACTCAGCCTTACCTTTACAGGTAATTTCCCCAAAACTTGGTGGAATGAATTAACTTTTTGAGTGTCCTTTGAGTTTGAAACATGTACCTAACTGAACCTATAGTGTACATATTGTATATTTGCTACAGATCAAGTAGGTATTACAGCCTGCTGATAGCTCATTGGCCAAATATTTCCTATGTCTGTGTTTTTGATCTATAGGATAGTAGCACATACGCCATGGGAAGAACATACAGGAGGTGGCACTCATGCACATCCAAGAACATGGGAGACACAGAAAACACGCTGTGAAACTCTACCATTGGTCAAGGTTCCAAAATAATGTGGAGACCCCAAAAGAATACCCATAAAGATGGAATACACTCCACATTCACAGCATACTGATTAATTGTTGGAAATCTGGAGGTTGAAAGAAAAGGCGGAACACGCCTGAAATAGGCAAAATTAGTTGGATTCTTGAACAGAAACTCTCTGCAGTACGGTTTATTGCGATGTTTCCATTGGGGAAACATGCACTTTTAATCACTTAAATCACATACTGTATGAAAACATACAGCCTTATTTCACCATTATTGTATAAATATCAAGGTTGCATAGCATAATTTTATATTTCTCTGCTGCTTGCAGACCTTAAACCTGCTATAACACAATGTGGCCAATAGTGCTTAAAATCCCTCAGATAATTACCTGGGTTTCAAACTACCTTAATGAGTATTTAAATTGTTACTTAAGAGTATTTTGAATTGTTATACATTTAAGGTAAAAGTTCCCCTCGCACATATGTGCTAGTTGTTTCTGGCTCTAGGGGGCGGTGCTCATCTCTGTTACAAAATCGAAGAGCCAGCGCTGTCCGAAGATGTCTCCATGGTCATGTGGCCAGCATGACTAAATGTTGAAGGTGCACCTTCCCACCAAAGTGGTCTCTATTTTTCTACTTGCATTTTTACATGCTTTCGAACTTCTAGGTTGGCAGAAGCTGGGACGAGGAACGGGAGCTCACTCAGTTACGCGGTGCTAGGGATTTGAACTGCTGAACTGCTGACCTTTCTGTCCAACAAGCTCAGCGTCTTAGCCACTGAGCCACCACGTCCCTGATACATGCATACATTTAGTGATATATTAATTTTTAATGTATTTGTCTAATGTTTTTACTCCTCCCTATAGTATTTAGATTTTTATGTGTATTATGTGTGGGTATATAGGTGTGTGTTTATACATATATGTATGTATATATATATATATATAATGTGTGTGTGTGTGTGTGTGTGTGTACACACATATTTTTTAAAAAAAATATTTTTATGTTTTTGTCATTTTATGTAATTTTTATTTTAATTTTTTTAATTTAAAAAAATAATAATTGTTTCATCCCACTTTCTTTATTCTAGTCTAGGACTAGAATAAAGATTTGACTGATAGAGCAAACTCCCATCCTTCCACATCATCATCTAGAGAAGGAAGTTTTAATATGGAACAGGAAGATGTAAGAGATGGGTGGGTAGTTAACTCTAAACTACTTTTTATGTGCCACTTCCTAGTTCTCTTTCCTTCCAATTATCCTCGTTGTTTGGAATGGCCTTGTGGAGCAGCAGTAAATACATCTTGCTGATTTAACAACAAACACAACATCAAACACCTCCCTCCCAAGATGCTAAAACAGTTAAGACCATCCATTTAAAGCCGGAGAAAGATTGCATGCACAAACGTATACTGTACCGCTCTAATCTCTTTTAATTTTTTTTAACTGGAAAAGAAACAAAAAATGTTCCAACAGGGTAAGTCCCATGACTTCTGGATAAAGCACATTTAAGTTCATACAGTCACATACTTTCAGAAGAAACTAAGCAACACAACCCACCCTTGACCTACTTTCTGTCAGCTCAGAAGCTAAGCAGGATGGGGCCTGTTTGGATGGGAGACTTCTACAGAAAACCCACTAAATGAGGAAACTATAAGAACATCCTAGAAGGAGGCAGTGTTGCCTCCCGACAAAACTGCATGTCTAAGTAGTCCCCATGAGTTGGGTTGAGCCAAGTTGGACATGCATAGATTATGGAAAACATTACATTTTCAGTAGATGGATGGAGGCCTCTTAACTTAACTTTGTGAGGGCTAGGAAGCTAAGCAGCATTGAGCATAACTATTACCTAGACAGTAGAGTTAGCTAGTTAGGTTAAAATAATCAGGAAGAAGATACTGGCAAACCACTCCCATTCTGCCACCATAAAAACTGCCCAGAGAGTCATCAGGAGTCAAGCACAACTCAAGGACCTTACCTTCAGCCTCACAATGAGAAAATATGCTTAAATAGGTGCATTTCCTTCAAGTAAGCAAAGGAGCTCAGGAAGAAGGAGCATACCAGCATGGCCTTTACAAGCCGGTTTCACCATTCTTTCGGATTTCTACTGCTCACTTTTAGAAATCTCAACCCAACCCTTTACCCGCAGTTTCTCCACGCTCTCAATTTCTCAACAAGTTTTGCTGGCCTTGAATAATTTCAGCTTATAGTAAGTTGTACGTCTAACTGTCACCAGCATCCTTCTAACAGAGAATTTCCAGGGTGGGGTGGGGGGGTGGGGGTGGATTAGCTGGAAGGGCAAAACAAACAAACAAACAAAAAAACAGAGATTAAGCATAGAGCAGGGGACCTGTTGAGAAAAATAGGATTTATTCATGAGCTTGACCAAAGAAAAGAACTTGAGGCTATCTGAAGAAAAGGCAATCGGTCCTTTATCTAGCAGAGTCAACATCCACACAGACACAAATGCAAGAGAAATGGGAAGGTGCCAAAAAAAAAAAAAAAAAAAACCCACCAAAATGCTGCTCGGATTCATAAAAAGCTTTTTGATACACAGGTCGCTTTTTTAAAAAAAAAATGTTTGAAAAAGTAACCTTGGAAAGGGCTTCTAATACACTGGTCCTTTGGGTAAAAAAAAAACATGACAAAAACGATTCACATTTTTAAGATTCATCGTCACCCCATAATTGAGCTCACATGGAGAGGGAGAGAAGGGGGAGAGGGAGGAAGAGAGAGAAGGGAGAGAGAGGAAGGGAGGAAGAGAGAGGGAGGGAGAGATGAAAAGAGGAAGAGAAATGTAAAGAGAGAGAAAGAAAAAAAAGGTGGTCATTTTCGCTTGCAACCTTGTGCTCATTTTCGCTTGCAACCTTGTGCTCATTTTCGCTTGCAACCTTGTGCACCAATGATGACTTGAAGGTAAAGCTGCATTTGTTGCTGAGTCAAAGCTCTTATAGGCTGCTCTCACAAAGCTCCAACCAAATGCTCCATCATTTGGGGGACAACCCCAGTTGGTTGGTTTGGAGTTTTTTGTTTTTAAAGAGGCTCTTCCTCCATGATGGTTAAAGGAAGGCACCCATTGCAAGAGGGAGGGGCTCCTTATCTAATTCGCCCTCCTCCCCCCTCCCCCCTCCGGGAGATTTAGGTGGAACTTTGCAAAAGTAGCTGGAGAAAGAAAGGGGGGCAGGGTTCCTTTTGGGGGGGTGGGTCCACCCCTTCCCCTTCTTCTCTTACTCGTTTACTTATATTGGGAGCTAAAGAGTGTCCAAGGTCGCTGCCTCGGATGGGTGAGCCTCGCCACCCCTCTAAGATGCCCGTTTTGCCCATCAACTCAAAAGGTGGAAAGGATGGATGGGTGGGTGGAAGGAAGGAAGGAAGGAAGGAAGGAAGGAAGGAAGGAAGCGCCGGCTAACCAGAAGAATAAAAACATATATAAATAAAGAAATAAAAATCAGAATACTGGACCAGGCTTTCACGCGGATCTTCAGCTCTCCTTCCTGAGGCTCCGGCATCACTTTTTTAGACACCCGGAGCTTGTTGAGGCCCCCGAAAGCCGAGAGCACCACGGCTCGCATCTCTTTGGCATCCCCGGCTTTCGGGACGCCGCCGCTGTGGTTGCCGCTGTGGTTAGCACCATTGCCGCCGCCGCCGCCTTCGGCCGCCTCCTTCTCGATCATCTGCTCCGTCTCCTCGGCTTTCTCGGCTCCTTCCTTGGCCATGGCGCTGCTCCGGCGGCAGAAGGAAGACGGCGGGGCTGGGGAGCCGCGTTTAAGAGGACGGGGGCGCGCGGGCGCGCCGCCGGGAGGGGGGGAGCCAGCCGGAGGGCGGGAGCGCGCCTGCCTTGCCCGGCCGGCTGGCTTCGCCCGCAAACCAAGTCGGTTCTCCCCCCCCCCCGCCCCACTCCGCCTCCCCAACCCAATACGGTAGCCGGGCGCGCGCGGCGGAGCTGCCCGGGGGGCTCGGGGCGTGCGCCCGCCGGCTGGTTACCGTATCCCATGGCGTAGACGCGCAGCAATTTTAATTAGGATTATTAGGTATGATTATTTGTTTTTTTCTCGAGCGCAACCTCGAGTTTGTAAACTCCTCGGGAGCGGATTTTTTTTTTTTTTTTGACGGCGGGGGGGAGGTATTGCCGCAAGGTTTTGCCTGGGGGAGACGGAGGCGACTTCAGCCCGGCAGCGGTCGCCCCTTTGAGGGCTTCGGTCTCAAGCGAACGGCTTTTTGGAAGGCGCCGTTCCTGAGGGAAGGGTTTTCAGCGTGATGATGATGATGATGATGATAATAATAATAATAATACAGCAACAATAATAATAACAATAATAACAGCAGCAACAATAATAACAATAATAACAACAGCAACAATAATAACAATAACAACTATAATAACAATACCAACAATAACAATAACAATAACAACTATAATAACAATAGCAACAATAACAATAATAACAATAACAGCAAGAAGAAGAAGAAGGAGAAGAAGAAGTTGCTTTGATTGAGTTTGGCCAGTGGATACTATTGGGTGGGGGGTGTGTTTTTGGCTTTTGTTGCTCCTTTGAATTTCGTGCTTTAATCCTGGTTTGGGATTGAAAGGAGCAGTTTAAAGTCAGGAAGGCAAAAAAAAAAAGAAGAAAAGAAAATAGGTTTGGAAGGGATGCCACTATTTGGGAAGAATGGATGTTGCAGGGGATGTTGTTGCATACCTGGGAGGAGGGGCAAAGCTGTGGTCTATGCCCAGGCAGATGTGCCTTCATTGATGCTTCCCCTGTGGACAGGTGGCCTTAGGATGCTTAGGTTGGCAAGCTGCTTGGAACCATGGTTTGTTGTGCAAGCTACAATGGCTAGGTTTGCACGAAACATAAACCGGGGCTTACAACCCTCAGTTTGCTGGAGCCAGAACTCAAGTTGATCCATTCGGTTGAACAAGTCATGGTTTATGGAGTAAGCCACACTCAGTTAGGTTTGCATGGTGGTCTAAGGCTGCTTTTAACAAGAACTATAATAATAATAATAATAATAATAATAATAATAATAATAATAATAATAATAATAATAATAATAATAATAATAATAAT